ACAGTAGTACTGTTGAAGATCTGTGTTACTTCTCTGCTCGGAATTTCCAAGTAGGCTCCAGCTTCCCAGTTTTACAGATTTACACGGCCTGAGGACTTATTTAGGTTTCACTGCCCGGTACTGGTTTGCATTCCTCTGTGTAATAGATTATACAGATGCCCCAGACCTGCCAATCATGCTGGTGCGACCATAGTTACAGGTATCCTATCTCAACTGATCGACAGAATGCTGTCACTGTAATACTGTCTATATATTATATAGGTGATTATCCAAATTTCACTGTCAGTGGGTTTTGAACTCACAACCTACCACTTGGGGGTATGACAACTTATCCACTTCACTAAATCACCACACCTTAATATAAAACTTTTAATTTTGTTTATTTTATTATTATTTTAGAATTATATTCATAACTTAGAATTTAATTTTAGAATAAAAAATTATTAAAAATAATAATTCTAATGTAATAGTTAGATTATTATTTCTTAAGGATAAAGTACATATAGATCATTTTTTATATGATCTGTATAGCAAATTTTTATTTTTGCAAAAAATTAAAAGATGTTATTAATAAAATAAGATATTAAAAAAATTATACATTTAATTTATATATAATTTGCAAAAGTTGTACTCTATTCTTAAATAACAAGTTTAATATTCAAATTCTATTTATAACAAAATTTAGAAATTATATTTATATTACAGTAACTGTTTTTTATTGATTAATCAATCTTATATGACTATAACTTAGATATATCAAATCTAATGACTTAGAAACTCAAGATATTTATATAAAATATAACATTATATATATAAAGAGAGAAATACTATATAAAACTTTAATGCAAACTCAAAATAAGACTACTAAGCATAAAAAACTAAAGAACTAAAACAATAAAAACACACTTAGAAATTTCTAAATAAAAAGATAATATGAACTTTTGACAGTACTATCAGACTGATTAAAACTCATAAACCACTTTTAAAAAAACAGATCAAATAAACTAAATACAAAATATATGTAGAAGAACACATAACCAACCAGACTGTCAGATTTGTCAAAGGAAAAGGATACAGAAATATATCACACTAGGCTATCTGAATTGGTATTCTGACCAAAGTCTGTTAGTTTTGAGTAATGATTAGTAAAGAATGATAAAGAAGATGTCAAAAAACATAGGTATCAGGGTCCTAATGAACTTTACAAGAAAGAATATATAAATTTGACCCCATATAAGATTAATCGAACTTCTAATATTTTCCTTTTTATTTTCTATAGTTTCGACCATAATTTCTTTAACGCTGTAACTGTGTGATAGTAAAGAGAAAAAGGTAAAAATCAATGTGGTATCAATGATGAAATTGTTTATATTTTACAATTTGAGTATAATCGCATCTTATGATGAGTTTCTTTTGATTAAAAATTTAATTGTATTAAAGTACTTGTAGTTTCTTACATTCTAAAATTCGTTAATAGGTTGAAGCACTTGAATCTGTTTCACAAATGGTCATCAGTAATTTACATTATACCAAAATTATGTTAAACGACATCTGATCCTAAATTTTCATTGGCCAATTTACATCTGTTCATTCATGTGATGGCTATGGATCACCAATCAAAATTCCCAGCCAATAAAACCGGCCATACAATAATAGATTCTGATCAATCTCATCCTAAAATATCTTTTTCGAAATGCTAACACGAATAAACTTATTTCACCCGATAAATCAAAAAATTTCAACTAGCTTATTGTTAAAGTTTAGACGTTTAGTGACCGTTACTACAAATTACAATATAAAGAAACAAAATGCATTTGATAACTCATATATGATTGATAAAAATCTTTATGATATTGTTATTGTTGGAGGGGGAATCACTGGAAGTGCTTTAGCATGTGCTTTAGGTATAATCGGTTTTTACTGTTTTGTTTGTAAAACTTTAAACAAAGAAAATATGTAGGTAAAATTTTTAGTTTAATATAAAATAGCGAATTCCCAGAGAACAAAGTCACAACGTATTGCCCTGATTGAATTTAATAACATATCAAATATAAAAGAATGGAAACCTTTACAATTACAATTTTCAAATCGTGTAAGTTCGTTAACTCCGCGATCAATTCAATTCTTCAAAGGTATTTTATTTAAATTTAGTATTACCATATTTTATGGATTAAATTACCTTCTGAATAATGTTTACAATCTTATACTTGGATTCTTAATATTATGATGGTGCTAAATTTGTATTTTATATTTCTCGTACTACCTACACAAATGCATAAAACATGTTTACTAATATTAAGATGTCAAGGTTGTAAATAATATTCTATAAGAGAGGTGTTTGGTCCAAAAAGATGGCATGTTTTATTCGTTTTTTATTAAGATGCTATCATATCAATTTGGAACGTTTAAAACTGTGTTCCATCAAATGAAATCTCAACTTATATACTAGGTTAAGGTGTTTCATGATTAAATAAGGATTCTGTTTTCTTATCTATTAAGTACGAAACTTTTGCTAATCATTAAATCTTCCATTCTTAAAAAACAATTCGAATAATTGTTTTATTCATCTGATACAACATATTCAATGTCTTTTTTTTTTTGCAACTTCAATTGAACATTATTTAATTTATATCGAATAGTTTTAATTACATCCTTGCATCAAAGCGATATTTAAATTTATTTTTGCTTGGTACACAAAAAATATACCATATTGTCGCGAAATAACTGGCATGGACACTATTTAGAAAATCATACCCTATGAAAATAAGCATGAATGATTTCAAAACAACGCTCATGCGCGTCCCGAAATAACGCGCACCTCGTATAAGGTGTTAACCCGGGTGGAAGCAAGTATATAATAACTTTAAACAATCAGGTTTGGGAGTGTGCTAAATAGCATATATATTTAATATGACGCGTAAGTAGGTGTTATTTCGCGACCATACGGTATGTAGTATAGTATTCGTGTGATAAAAAAAACTTGATAATTTTTTTTTTTAATTGGTCATGAATTTTTCTTGTTTGGCATCAGACTTTCTATATTTCATCCATCGAAAATTTGCCGCGAAATAAATGAATACATCATAATCGTTTTGTTATTGTAAAGAAAATTAAAGAATTGATAAATAATTCAAGTGAACCTATTTATTATATTTATTTTGCACATTTTAATCTAGTTACATAAGAAAAACTGGTCTGACGCATCTTAAGAATCTGATGCAACTTAATTTTTAATATGCCTACTTAGAATCTGATTCACAACATACATATCAATTTCAGATATTGGTGCGTGGGAAAATATTATCCAGGAACGCATTAAACCATTCAAAGACATGCAAGTATGGGATGGCATTAGTAACGCCCGTATAAGATTTAATAGTGATTCTATTAATAAAAATGTAGAAGCCATCGCTTGGATAATGGAAAATCATAATATTCAACATGCCATTCTTACCAAACTTGCGCAATATAAAGATTGTAATGTCGATCTTCTTGAAAATACCAAAGTAGAGAGAATCATGTTTGATAATATTGATTATAAAAATGAACAATTTGACTTATCTGACTGGCCAACTCTTGAATTAAGTAATGGAAAAATTTTAAAGGCTAGATTATTGGTAATATTCTTTCTACCAATTATTTTCTATCAATTATTCTTTATCAATTATTTTTTATCAATTATTTTCTATCAATTATTTTATATTAATTATTTTATCATTTATTCTTTATCATTTACTGATAATTGAAGATTGGTGCAGACGGAATCAATTCTATTGTTCGCTCATTTGCTAATATTGAATCACTTGGTTGGGATTACAATGCAAGTGCTGTGGTGGCCACTCTACAAGTGGACCCTCTGGTCGAAAACGTAGCAGCGTGGCAAAGATTTTTACCAACAGGCCCTATTGCAATGTTGCCGGTATGGACCACAGTAAACAACAAATATTGATTATTATAAAGTAGTAAATAATAATTATTTGTAAAAAAAATAAAAAAGATTAAAAATGGATTTTCGTCGATGGTGTGGTCTACGACTCCCACTCTTGCTTCCAAGATATGTACGCTTCCATCAAATAATTTCGTACACTTGGTGAATGCAGCGTTCCATCTTCGAATTGCTGATTTAGAATATTTATATTCTCAACTGGAAAATAATGATATTGATTTTTCAAAAGAATTTGAATGGCGTCAATCTGTTGAAAAAAAGGCTGCCATTGGAAATAACCCTGAGGAAATATTTCCTCCATTAATATTGGATATACAAGAAAAAAGTCGTGCAAAATTTCCATTAAAGATGAGAAATGCAGAAAGTTATATAAAAGAAAGAATTGCACTTGTTGGGTAGGTTATATTAGTAATGTCGTTGCAGGCAATTAATTTTCAATTTTTCATGTCTTGTGCTTAAAAATAGGGATGCTGCACACACAATACATCCACTTGCTGGGCAAGGACTAAATCAAGGATTAGCTGACGTACAAAGTTTAGTCAAAGTCATTGAACATGGAGTTATTACAGGGCAAGATTTAGGTAATTTAACTCAATATGTCTATGTTTTAATGTAAAAGCATTTACTGTATATAAAAACAATATATTATATACTAACTTTTTTTTTAAAAAAAAAACAAAGGAAATATACAATTGCTTAAAAATTATTCTTCTGATAGATATTTATCCAATCTTATAATGTTGGGATCAGTTGATAAATTGCACAAATTGTTTGGAAATAATTTCGCACCTATAGTTTTTATAAGATCATTGGGATTACAAATGATTAATAATTTGGAACCCGTGAAGGTTTGTATGATATTTTTATAAAGGTATCTTTTTATATCTTACTAATTAGTTACTATTGATAAATTTTAGTCTGAAATTATCAGATATGCAATGGGAATTGAATAATACTATAAGTTATTTATGCAATGTTAAAGCCAATAGAAGCACTATAGTAGGTAAGTAAAACAGTGAATTGAATATTAATATTATTTAATCTATCATTTTATCTATTTACTTTGTTAGTTATAGTACATATTTCGTAAATGTTGTCAAATAATTGGCATACCTAAATTTTGCTTGTAAATTTGTAAAAAAAAACTTAAACCCGGTTTGATTAAAAAACACATACAAATACATACTTTTTTTTTATTTTGAAATATGTGGGGTGCAGACGATAGAAACAGCCCATTTTTATATTTTTTTGAAAAACGAGTTTTTATTATATTCATATAAATTGACATGTTTGACATTTTTCAAGTCGATTTGCATAATAAAAAATCGAGATACGAGGGTCAACACATCATGAGATTAGCCGATAGTCATCTCATAGACAGAAGTTCGTCTGATTGGTTAATTTTTATAGATCTACCCGTGATTACCCGTGATTATTAACCAATCAAATTATATCGTTTTTAAAAAAATTA